GATATGATAAGATATAATATGTAACAATATGTTATGATATGATATGATTTGATTTGATATGATTTGATATCATGTGATATGGAATGATATGATGAGGTATGATATGATATGACATGATATGATATCACTTGATATGATATGATATGATATGATATGATAAGATATGACATGATATGATATGATATGATATGATATGATATGATATGATATGATATCATATGATGTAATCTGATCTTGTTTGATATGACTTGATATTATGTGATATGTGATTGTATGATATGATTTGATATGATATGATATGATATCGTTTGATAAAATATGATATGATACCGTATGGTATGATGTCATTGTTCTGATAAGGCGTATTTCGATTTTTTTTATATGACTTGCAACGAGGTGTTATGATAATGTTTGATACGATAAATTGATATGACATGATTGATATTATAAATTGTAACAAGACTTGATATGACATGATATGATTTGATATTTTATGATATGATATGATATGATATGATATGATATGATATGAAATGATATGATATGATATGATATGATATGATATGATATGATATGATATGATACGATTTGATATGATATGATATGATATGATATGATATGATATGATATAATATGATATGATATGATATATGATACGATATGATATGATTTGATATCATATGATATGATATCATATGATATGATGTAATCTGATCTTGTTTGATATGACTTGATATTATGTGATATGTGATCGTATGATATGATTTGATATGATATGATATGATATCGTTTGATAGAATATGATATGATACCGTATAGTATGATGTCATTGTTCTGATAAGGCGTAATTCGATGTTTTTATATGACTTGCTACGAGGTGTTATGATAATGTTTGATACGATATATCTTGAAATGACATGATTTGATATTAAAAAATATAATAAGACTTGCTATGATATTATGCGATTTTATTTGTTATGATGTGGTATGGATGACAGCATACAACAGAAGATTACAGAAGAAGATTGAAAAGATGACATGTTTGATTTGATTCGATATGATATGATATGATATGGTATGATATGAGATGATAAGATTTGATATGATATGAAAACATAATAAAGGATATGATATGGAATGATACTGCATGATTTGTTATGATAAACTTGATTTGATTTGAGATGCTACGAAATGATTTTATAGAATAGGTTATAATATGACATGAAATGATATTGTTTGATAAAATATCATATGAGAATATAGATATCATTTGATGTGATGTGATATGATATGATTTGATTTGATATGATATGATATCTTAAGATATGATTCGATTCGATATTATTTGATATGATATGATTTGTTACAATTTGCTGTGATATGATCTTGTTTGACCTGATAAGATTTGATATGATTTGATAAGATATGATAAGACATGAAATGATACGATATGTAATGATATGACATGATGTGATTTGATAAGACTTGATATGAATTGATTTGATATGAATTGAGTTTAAATAATAAAATATGATATGATATTCTAGATTTTAATTGATCTGATATGATTTGAATTGAAGTGATATGAATTGATTTTATATAGTATTATATAATAGGATTTGATATGATATGGTTTGATAAATTATGTTATTTTATTCTAGATGTTATTTGATATGATATGATACGATAAAATATGATATGATATGATATGATATGATATGATATGATATGATATGATATGATATGATATGATATGATATGATATGATATGATATGATTTGATATGATATGTTATGATATGATATGATATGATATGATATGATATTATACGATATGATATGATATGATACGATTTGATCTGATATGAAACGTTGTGATTTGATTTGATATGATATGATTTGATATAGTATTTTATGTACAATATGATTTGATTTGATATGATATGATATGATATGATATGATATGATATGATATGATATGATATGATATGATATGATATGATATGATATTATATGATATGATATGATATGATATGATATGATATGATATGATATGATATGATATGATATGATATGATATGATATGATATGATATGATATGATATGATATTATACGATATGATATGATATGATACGATTTGATCTGATATGAAACGTTGTGATTTGATTTGATATGATATGATTTGATATAGTATTTTATGTACAATATGATTTGATTTGATATGATACTATATGATATGATGTTATGATATTATACCATATGGTATTATATGACATGATATGATACGATATGATATGATATGATAAGATATGATATGATATGATATGATAAGATATGATTCGATTCGATATTACTTGATATGATATGATTTGTTACGATTTGCTATGATATTATCTGTTTTGACCTGATAAGGTTTGATATGATTTGATAAGACACGATAAGACTTGAAATGATATGATATGTAATGATATGACATGATGTGATTTGATAAGACTTGATTTGAATTGATATGATATGAATTGAGTTTAAATGATAAAATATGATATGATATTCTAGATAATATTTGATATGGTATGATTTGAATCGAAGTGATATGAATTGATTTTATATAGTATGATATAAAATGAATTGATATGATATGGTTTGATAAATTATGATATATTATTGTAGATGTTATTTGATATGATATGATACGATAAAATATGATATGATATGATATGATATGATATGATATGATATGATATGATATGATATGATATGATATGATATGATATGATATGATATTATATGATATGATATGATAGTATACGATATGATCTGATATGATACGAATTGATCTGATATGAAACGATGTGATTTGATTTGATATGATATGATTTGATATAGTATTTTATGTACGATATGATTTGATTTGATATGATAATATATGATATGATATGCTATGATAAAATATGATTCGATTCGATATTACTTGATATGATAAGATTTGTTACGATTTGCTATGATATGATCTGGTTTGACCTGATAAGGTTTGATATGATTTGATAAGACACGATAAGACTTGAAATGATATGATATGTAATGATATGACAGGATGTGAGTTGATAAGACTTGATATAAATTGATATGCTATAAATTGAGTTTAAATGATAAAATATGATTTTATATTCTAGATATTATTTGATATGATACAATTGGAATTGAAATGATAAGAATTGATTTTATATAATATGATATAATAGGATTTGATATGATATTGTTTGATAAACATGATATAAGATTCTAGATGTTATTTGATATGATATGGTTTGATATGATATGATATGATCTGATACGATTTGATCTAATATGAAACGTAGTGTTTTGATTTGTTATGATATAATTTGATATGGTATGTTATGTACGATTTGATTTGATTTAAAATGTTTTGATTTGATATGATATTATATAATATGATTTGATACGATATGATATCAAATGAGATGATACTGTTTGATATGACTTCGAATGAATTAAATGAATTGAAATGAAATTATTTGATTTAAATGATATGATATGATATGATATGATATGATATGATATGATATGATATGATATGATATGATATGATATGATATGATATGATTTGATATGATATGATATGATATGAAATGATATGATATGATATGATATGATGTGATTTGAGATGATTTCATTTGATATGATATGATTTCATATGATAAGATATGGTATGATACATAACGATACGATATAAACTGATATGACAGCATATCTAGGAAAAGATATGAAATGATTCGATATGATACGTTTTGATAGGAATGACATGATACTGTCATATATTAAATGATATGATATGCTATGATATGATTTAGTAAAATTCGAGATGATTTGATATGAAATGATACCATATGAAATGATACGTTAAAATTTGATTTGATTTGATATATGATACGATATGATATGATAAGACATGATTTGATATGATATGAAATGATATGATATAATATGATATGATATGATATGATATGATATGATATGATATGATATGATATGATATGATATGATATGATATGATGTGATATGATATGATATGATATGATATTTGATTCTTTTGATATGATGATAGGAATTTATTTGATATGATGTCATTGTTATGATAAGAGGTAATATGATTTGTTATGAGATGATAGAAAACCATAGACTTTGTTTGATATAAATAGATTTGATATGATTTGTTTGATATAACATTATTTGATGTGTCATGATTTGATATTTTTTGATGTGATATGATTTGTTATGATATGACATGATATGATTCGGTATAATAAGATTTGTTATGATATGATATGATAAGATATGATATGAGTTGAATTGATATGATACGCTATGATCTGATTGATTTAACGTAATATAATATAATATGATAAAATAAATTATGATATGATTTGATATGATTTTTTTGTCGTTGTATGACATAGGCTGATACGAATTGATGTGATTTAAAATAAAATGATGTGATGAAAAATGGTCTGATTTGATTTAAAATTGGTACGACTTGATGTTATATGATACAACTTGATTTGACATCTTTTGATATAAAATGAAATGATATGATATGATTTGATATGAAATTTTCTGATTTGATATGATATGTTATGGCATGACAACATTTCTTTAAATAGTTATAAAACGATTCGATATGATATGTTCTGATAGGACTTGACTTGATACCATCATATATACGCTATGATATCATACTATCAGCTATGATATGACCTAATATAGTATGATATGATCTGATTTTTTAGTATGATACAATATTAGGATATTGGAGTTCTATTTAGTTGTATTCGTTTAAAAGACTTTTTTTTCAATGTTTTCAATAGGCAAGGATTATGATAAAAAAAATTCACCATTTTCGAACATGTATACTATCAAAATAGAATTGCCAATTAGGCTGAAACAAATTGGCTAAGACTTGAAGCATTATGTTATGAGTTTCACTCACAAGTCTCTTGGCTGCCACCTGCACCTTGACCACCTGGTGACTCACCGTCGTCTCCTTCTGCTCCATCATCTTCAACGACTTCTTCTGTAACGCCAAGCCTTTCTTGGTCTAAGACTTCGCCAATTTTCTCAAGGTTGTTGTCAACGTTTGAAATACCAGTGATTCCAGCTGAAATTCCGGCTACAGTAGCCGACAGTCCTTTCACTTTTGAGCCGATACCTTTGACTGCTCCCAAATTTGATAGAGCACCACTCGTAGGCATCATTGATTGAGCAGGTCCGTCTTTTTTTTTGCCTGATATTGGAGACGACTTCAACATCCCGCCAAGAGCTGATCCAAGTCCACCCATACCACCAAGCGCTTTACCTATTCCTCCCATTCCACCTAGTGCAGATCCTATGCCACCGCCTCCTTCAATTTACAAAAACACATTCGATTAACAAATAAAAGGCTAAAAGTGTCGTAAATTCAGAGCTGAAAATACTGATAATTAGGCTAAGTTCTCTAAAAAAACTCGTAGTTTTTCTGAAATAAGCTCTTTTTGTTTGTTTCATCACTCAATTTCTGTTTTGTAAAACAATTTTAATTGTATTTTTTCTCAAACCAGAGTCAAAGATCAAAGTTATCGTATGCTATTTGCTGTTTGCATATCGCAAAAAAATTTTTGTTCAAACAGTATCTTTTTGATAATCTGTTTTCAAACAAGGCCAACTGATCAACTCAAACTTTTCAAGAATCACAAAAAAAAGCATAAAAGGTGACTGGCCAGTTTTTTTGAAATTTTTTTTTTTCCGATTTTCAAAAAATATGTCTGTTTCCTTTCTCGTTTTTCATACAAATCTTATGTCCAAGTTTTTTTTGTCAAATTTGCCTAGAGTAAACTTTTTGGTTCAGATCAATATATCACACCACGCAGAAAAAACATCGTTTGGGGAAAAGTTGTTTTTAGTTTATTTGCACAGTAACCATTCATCTTTGTAACACCTGTGAACCAGTTAATTTGTTGAAAATGTTAGCAGTTTCAAATTTGTAGCTTACCACTGTTACATTGTAAAAGTACTTGAAGATAAACTTTGCTGAATGCATTCTATATTATAACAGGTGGTTTGAAAAAAAGTGTTTTTTATCGTTATAAATTACAATAAATAAGTGTCTTGTACTCCATTTCCCTTGTTTTCATTTGTAGCGTTTTAAAAAGCTGGCAGTTGTTTTTTTCTGTACGTTTTAAAAATGTACATGACAATTGTTTTATCACGAAAAACTAATTGAAAAACTTAAATTTCAGCTTCAGCTCATGAAACGCATTGCATTCTGTATGATCACTAAATAATTTTTTGAGCAAAAAAATCAAACTTGATGAAAATTTAGTCTGCAAAATTGTTGGGTGGTGTAGATGATCAATAATCAGTGGGTATTTAGTTACCAATTTATTTTATTATGTTTTTAGCTATCCTTTTTTTGTTTAATCAACTTTCTTTTTGAGAATTTTCTTAGTTTTTTTTCGCAAAAAAATTCCATTGAAGTTAATTAGTTCTGCTTTTAATGGCATCCATTTTGTTGGCATGCAAGAGAGCGGTATTGAAAAATTAATCTTTTTCGCAGGTTCTTTTCTTAATTTTTAAGCGCCAAATTTAGACCGCGGTGTTCAAGAAGAGTAATTCGTCGTTGGAAATAGGACACTTATTTTGTTTATTAATTTTCAAAAAAAATGGCCCAGACACAAAACCCTGTGGGATACCTGAACGGCCTGTTTTTTTCATCCTAAAACAAGGACAATTGCTTTAGAAGGAGAGTCTCGTTTTACTGCTGCGTAGACAGTTGTACATAAAAAGTCAGGAGACTTGATTGGAATAGGTGACCAGCCGAGTAGGAAATTGGAGGACCTCTGAGAAACTTGACCGCTGGGAGACTTGACTGGAACAGGTGACCAGCGAAGTGGTAAAGTGGTACTCGGGATAGAGACCTCAGAGAGAGAGGACACCCGACCGGGAAAGAGATATCCAGCTGTGTGATTAAAGCAGAACAGAGCAAACGGATGAAGATTCTGTTTGATCAAACGGGTATCCTTGAAATCCATTTTAGAATATAGGAAAAAGTGTGAAAATGAATAAGCGAATACCCACTGTTTTGAGGAAACGTTTTTGCTTCAGCACAGCTTGGAAACAGGTTCTACGGTTTTCTCTCGAGAGGTTTAGCACCCATCGCGCTTAGGATAAATTTCGGCTTAGGTGGATCGCTTGATAGGGGGGGGATTAGCAGGTTAGTATAGAGATTGGTGGTTGAAAATTGTAAAAAGGGAGGCTTTCTTATAGTAACTAAGCAATCGATATCTTCGATCTAGTTACCTTAGAATAACTGAGTGGAAAAATCACAACAAGACTAAAACGCGAATTTACTCGATAGCGAACTCGTATTAAGACAAGTAACCTGGCCGCATCGGTTGGGGGGATCGGAATTAGACAGTTTTTACATCCCAGAAGTTGAAAACCCCATAATATTGCTGATAGGGGGGATGAAAAACGCGTGATAGTCAGGTGCCAGCTAATTTTTTTAAGAAAGACGATCATTATCGATATTGCACTTCAGGTAAACAAGTTTTTCTTGTTTTTGTAATTATTCTCATTTGAGGTTCACGGTTTTTGGGTTTGACTTTTACTGAATTTTTGCTCAACAGCGATCATAGATTAAGTTTAAAACCAAATCGTATTTCAACAGGAAGTAAAAATTTGCAGGAAGTAAAAAAAAAAGGAAAAAAGAATTGGAAGTAGGAAAAAATAAATTCAAGGGGCCTAGAAAAGGGTTTCAACGCTCGAGCGAAGGGTCCAAGGACACTACAAAAGGGTACCAAGATTGTCCCTAATGACTTCAACACTAGAGCGAAGGGTCATAGGACAGTAAGGAAGGGTCCCAATACCCTTCCAGAAGGTACCAATACTTGAGCGAAGTGTCCCAAGACTTACCGAGGTATCCTGAGAATGTACAGAATGATCCCATGACCCTACCGGAAGGTATCACTACCTCAGGACCAATACCCTAGGTACCAGAGTATCTTAGGACAAAACCAAAGGGTCCCAGGACCCTACCAGAAATTGAGCGAAGGGTCCCACCACAGTACCGAAGGGTACAATGACAAAACCGAAGGGTCCGAAAACACTACCGAAAGGTAATAACACTTGAGCGAAGGGTCCCATGACAGTACCAAAGGGTACGAGGACAATACCGGAGGGTCTCAAGACACTACTAAAGGTTACCAAAGCTTGAAGAAAGGGTATAAGACAAAGAATCCCGGCACTAAGAGCGAAGGGTCCCAAGACCTTACCAAAAGATCGAAAGACCTGATCAAAGGGTCCCAAATTGAATGGGTTTTAATAAATAATAGATCAGGAGTTTTTCTTATAACTTTAATTAGATTTTACATTAGAAGTTAGTATTTAAATTAGAGTTGTAGATAAAGAAAATTGTTTATACAAATTTTGAAGAAAACAGGAACATCTATAAAAGAAAGAAAAGGGATAGAACATAAAAATCAAACCTCGTCGCAAAGGAAACTAACACCAAAAAATCCGAGAGTTATGAGGACGAATGTTTCAGTGAACATGGTCAATACAAGAAGCAACAAGGAACAGAAGGCCAAGTGAAAGTGACGCAAGAACCGACTATACCGGACAGATATACCGATCTTGAGACACCAGATCAGAGTATAGACGGGGCGGAAAGAAAGATGACGGAGTCAACGTCTATGCCAAACGTAAAAGAGCAAGAGAAGAAAACAATAGAGTTCTCACCAAAAGACAACGTAGACGAAACAACAAACAACACACCGGAAACGCTAAACGACGATTCTCAAACAAAAAGAACGTCGTCCACAGAGAAGGCAAGGGCGACGGAAGAGAAGCTGCAACAGATGGCGGACAAAGTAGAAACGACCGACAGAAAGCGAGAGAAACATATCAAGAAAGATTTGGAGGAAATGAAGAAGAGCTACGACACCGTGAGTGAGAAGTTGTAGAATCTAGAAACCAGAATAAACACAATGAGCAAGGGACTGACAGAAAGTTCTGGAGCCATACAGATCAAACTGGACGTACTCATGAGAAAGTTTATGGCCCAAGATAAGTTAGTGGCAGACAAGCCATCTGGAACTAGAGTCGACTTCGTAGAACCAAAACGGAAGGAACAGGATCTACACCGTTACCCCCGATTGATAGCACCATAGCGTCAGGGGGGACCAGGACTGCTATGAAGGGGGAGCCTCAAACTCAACGAGAATGCCAGAGGACTCAAGAACACATACGGTTGTACCACCTGATGCCATGACGTGGTACCTGGGAAATGATGAACAGGACGCTTGAAGCATTCGCAACAAAGAACACAGACTCAAATGACAGAGACGGTGATAGATCCAGAAAAACCTTCAAGAAACCTAAATAATTCAAAGACGATGCAGATGGTTACATTGAGACCTGGGTTGACAATTTGAACGATAAGAGACAGGCCTGCAAGCCGATATTAAGCGTTCTAGAGTGAACAGCACTAAAGTGCGTGGTAGCAAAGAAGGAGGAGAAGCGTGACACTGCAGACAAGATCTATGAGATACTGTTGAGTCGATTTGGATCAGGCATCAAGGGTCAACAGGCGACGATGGGGTTTGAAAAAAGAAGACAGAGAGATGACGAATCGATATTTCGATTTCTGGATGATCTTGAGAGCTTGAGGAGGAGAAGTGATCCAGAGGAATCGACAAACAGAAGATACTTCAGCATCGCTTCAAAGTTTATCGACGGACTGAGAAGTTACGACTTGATAACGATTTTGGCAGCGTAAATTATGCTATTGAAGGATAATGCATCAATCCCCGAGGACATGAGACAAAAGTCAAGAGAGTATATGTTGATGAGATCATAGAAGTAGTCGTTCTCGGAAAGCAGAAACATGCAAGAAGAGGCCAACAACAAAGGTCATCCTGGTACAAACCTAGAGAAGACATGGACAAACGAAAGTCATGTGCAAAATGATCGGCGGATCATCATATAGCGAATTGCACAACATGTAAACAAGTCATGAAAAGAATATTCTTAAGAACATATGATTAAGAAGGCGATTCTTACATAGTGTTTTCATGGCGCTCCTGGGTGTTTGTACGACATCATGACTACAGGATCGAACCCACTTGACGCAGCTCCGGGCTACATACCCATTCTAGAGTACCGGTGGCACCGTTCAATGGGAAAGTAATCACCTTCTGGTCGTACCGTGATAACTTTTAAGAAAACTCGAGAGAAATTCCCGGTGCACTTTCCAAAACGAGGCTTAGCTAATCTAATACAAAAGCGAAACGAAAATTCAAAAACAATTAAAATGGAACAAACAACGATAAAAAATTTTTAAAAAGGACAGTGGCTTTGACATTCAGATCAGGTGGATCGAACCTTATTTTTAATTTAAATAGTATTTACATACTGTTTTCAATAAGACCGATCGTCACTATCAACCAGCAACATTGAAAAAGTGCCCGAGCTAGGGCTTTGAAAGGGCTTTCAGATAGCTTGTGACATCAGCGGACCACTTGACCGGAACAGGTGACCAGCCAAGTGGGAAAGTGGACTACTGAGAGTTTTGACCACTGGGAGACTTGATTGGAATAGGTGACCAGCCGAGTGGGAAACTGACCACTGAGAAAATTGACCGCTGGGAGACTTGACTGGACTTGAAGTGGGAAAGTGGTACTCGGGATAGAAACCTCAGAGACAGAAGACACCCGACCGGGAAAGAGACATCCAGCAGTGTGATTAAAGCAGAACAGAGCAAACGGATGAAGGTTCTGTTTGGTCAAACGGGTATCCTTAAAATCCATTTTAGAATATAGGAAAAAGTGTAAAAATGAATAAGCGAATACCCACTGTTTTGAGGACAGGTTTTTACTCGAGCACAGCTTGGAAACAGGTTCTACGGTTTTCTCTCGAGAGGTTTAGCACCCATCGCGCTTAGGATAAATTGCGGCTTAGGTGGATCACTAGATAGGGGGGAGGTTAGTATAGAGGTTCGTGGTTAAAAATTGTAAAGAGGGAAGCTTTCTTATAGTAACTAAACAATCGATATCTTCTATCTAGTCACCTTAGAATAACTGAGTTGAAGACTTGTGCCATTCTGCCAGATTGGCACAGAGCAACCTTCCGCCGACGCGAAAAAGAACGATTAAAGGCCTTATTAACGAAAAAGTATTGCGAAGGAGGGTAGGAATATTCTAGAATTTTTCTTTTTGAAATTTCGATCGAAAAGGAAATATTTCTCAGAAATACGAAGAACGGCCATTTTTGACTGAAAATGGACGAAAAGACAGAACAACGACAAATATTGTGAAACACGGTCGCACAAGAGACAAAAAACATGAAGCCTCTTATCGTGGCAGCAACACACGATAAGATCGTTAGCAGCAGAGATCAGCGGAGAAGGAAGCTTCAGTGGGGAAGGAATGTTCCACGGAACCCTCCCGTGCCACAAATTGGAAGAGATAAGAGCGTTATCTCACGAAGTTTACGGGAGCGGAGGCTTGGTCCCCCAGAGACTGTTTTATGTGAAGGGACTATATAGAACTAACTTTGTAGCTACTTGGATGTCGTAGAAGTCTGAATTAATACCGGTATTATTTGATATTTCAGAATATGAGTAGCTAGAAAGAGGAAAGGGTCAATCCATCTCCAATGGACTTAATATAGAACTGTCACACAAAAACATATTAAAGTTGGTTGTTCGAGCCGTGTTTTTAATAGCAATCACGTAGTCTGAGGATCCGAGACTCAGCTATGTGGTTGTGTTCGCATGTAAACGAAAGCTGATCAAAAGTCGTTTGACTGATGGCCTAAAAATAGTAACTTTTTACTTAGCCCTAAACAGACCAGAAAATCAACTGGCAAGGTCGAGACGGTGAAAAACGAGTAGGATTAAGGTAACTGACGCCTGCCAGTCGTTAAAAGGTACTTTTTCTACACTCCGTCGCTGTGTAGTATTTGGGCGAATGTTACATAGACGTTTTTATGGCGCTCCTGGGTGGGCCTGTCAAAGGCATAACACCATCATGATCAGCAAACGTTTCAGCGACGAACCCTCCGCTCCGGGAGTATGCCCCAGTTAGAGGCCTTAATGACCGTTATTGTACTGCGGGGAAGGTGCGTACCCTCCGTCTAGTACTATTTAGCTTTTTAACTTAGTTAACACCGAAAATTCCGGGTGCCGGAGGGTTAGGTGGGAAGTCATGAGCCCGCTTGTCCCAAGGTCCCGGGACCAAAAACAATTAAAGAGAAAGCGTAAAACCAAACAAAAATAGTGTATAACCAAGAAAAGGCCAAAAATAAATTTAATTGAAAACAAAAAATTAAAAAAAACTGTAAAAAAATCCAAAAAAGACCAAAAACAGTAAAAAACATAAAGTGAAAGTTTATATGTTATTTCCGGATGAGATGTGATCTGACCTTCCTATTTGTTGTTGTTTCAGATTGATTTATATCGTTTCTGATAGAGAGGTTGCGTGTTTTGGTGAAGGGTTGGATACCCTCCCTCGCGTGTAATTTGAGTGTTTAAGCACGTTAATGGTGATTTTGCCGGTGACCGGAAGGTAGAGGGGCAAGCTTACCGACGCGTTCCACAGTCAACAGGGACATCAGGGACAACATCCGCAGCGACTGTTGGGTATCGTTTAAGCAATTTTAGTATCGTTCGGGTACTATTTCATTAAAACTTAAGTGGTGGGGGGCACGATTGGCGCGGTCCGATTGTACCCTCCATCGATTACAAATTTCCGAGTTAAGGGTCTTAATTCGGGTAACTTGGTGCAAAGGAGGGTATAGTACTATTCATTAACGACTACTAATAAGTTATAATCCTTATTACATATTACTTATCTCCTAATTAGACCCAAGAAACACCCAAATTTTGTCGAAAATTATCGATTTTCGACCAAACTGTAGACCCCCAAATTTTTGGATATCCGAGCTTTT